TGACAACACTTGTGGTCAGGGCTCCAATGGGCTGGACGCTGTGATGAACCCTTTACCATTGTTCAAATGTTGCCCATACCCCCTCTGACTTGGTCTCTTGCCTCAGCATTCCCTAACCCGGCAACCGGGTTTTAGTCAATTAAGTTTAAATAGGCCTCCCATAGCGGGACTAGGGAATGTACAGCCTAAGATGCCTATAAAACTTTACTTCTGCTTAGAGGTGGGGGGAGAGGGGAGAGTCCTTTGTAAATCCAAATTAAAACTGGTCTGATAAATGCTGAGCTGGGTGTGTGGGTTGATTAGCATTTGGAGCACAGATTCCCCATCGTGCAGTGCTCCCCTGGTTCTCTGATCCCAGAATTCACTGCAGTCTCTGCTTCAGACATTCTGTTCTCCATCTCTCATGTAAATGAATGGTCATCTGGTTCCATCTTGGATGCAAATGAGACCTAGGGCAGTTGTTTCACTCTGGTCACCCTTATCTGGAGGGTTTTAGGTGTGTCTCCCACTGCATCTTAATCAGTTTTGTTTAGGTAGAGGTGGGGAGGGGGGGATTCTTTGTGAGTCACACAGTCTGCGTCCTGTGTCAGGGTTCCCCAAGAACATGAAGCTGAGAGGTAACAATATTGGGTGCATCTACATGAGACACTACTGTGCAGTAGCTTGTTGCTACTGTACAGTAACACTAATTACTGCACAGTCATTTAGTACTTGGTTATGCAAGTACTAAATGACTGCACAGTACTGCGCAGTCTGCTGCTCATGTAGACATGGCCATTATGTAATTTTTCATATGTAGTGAGATAATAAGAAAAATTGATATAAAGAACAATATAATGCTTAACATTTTTATAACTGTTTGGATAAATCACATTATGCTTCTTGCCTATGTAAACCGTTTAATACACAAGGGAAAAAATAACCCACTGCATTTACGTTCTGAAACTCAGTTTAATTTTATTGCAGGCTATATATTAGAAAATCTGACCTCATATTTACAGACAAGCAAATGGAATTGTGGAACATTTGCTCGGTTTTCTTCCTATATTTCCACAAAAAAATCAACTTTTTTAAAACAAAATTTCCAGCATATTTAATTGTTGCATGTATCATGAACCCACCTCTCTCTCGCTCTCTCTTCTCTCTCTCTCTCTCTCTCTAACTAACCAACCAGACTCAGGAGCCATCTCCCAATTCCCAGTCTCTGGGGTTTTCTTAGAGAGCATCTTTAAATTACAACTTCTATCACTACATCTTCCCTCTTAACAATAAGTACAAAAACCAACACAAACATTGATTAACACTCATCTACAGAGGAGAGGTTACTAACACTTCACTCTGGAGCCTTTACCCCTCATTTCCCTCTTCCCCCTTTTCTGCAGCTCTTTCAGCAAGTCTCTGTGAGTCTTTCAGGAACTTTTACTTTCTTTTCAGACCAAGGAGGTATCAAATCCAGCTTCTGATGTTTTGGGTGGGAAGCTTTTCCTCCAAGTCTTAATAGACTTGAGTCCTTGTATTGGGAGCCAACTGACTTGCACTTTTGACAGCTGTGCTTTCTCTGTATAGCACAAAATTCATTAGCTATAGACTGTTGAAACTGATTTCCTGCTTCTGCTTGATGTTATTTGCATTTGTGTCCATAGGTACATTTCTTTTAAAGACCATGGCTGTTTCTTGTGTTCTAGAGCAATTAGTTTCTTCCTAATAAAACTGCACATTTTGGTGCTGTAAAGCCATGAGAATCATCAGGAGGCATGAAACTTGTTTCTTGTTGTGCTGCAAGCACACACTTAACTTGGTTCAGTTTCTCACAAGCTGCCACACCCAAATTGGTGTCACCACTCTAGGTACCATAGTGAACTGGAGTTTGTATACTTTATTTTAATATTGTATGCTAGCAATGTATCACCCTGGCACTGGTATATTTGTTCCTGATGAACCAATTATTTTGATGTTTGTTGGATTCACTTTTGGTCTCAATTTTAATTTTCTGTATTCATACTCTGGTAAAATATTTACCTGAGCTCCAGTGTCTAATGAAACTGTTTGATTCTACTATATATATAAACAACTTCTCTTCCAGTGTAGGCTCAACTGTGTGTACTTGAGGTTTCTGTGTTTGGGATCTGCAGCACCTGGCAAAATGGTTCCTCTTGTTAAAGTTAAAACAGGTGAGGCTGGTGAACTCAGACTGATGGGGCAGATGGAGCATCACACGGGAGCCGGGGGGTGGATTTTGCAGCTGGCCAGGAGCGGGGTGGGGTTTGTAGCCAGCAGGGAGCAGGGTGGGTTTTGCAGTCAGCCGGGAGCAGGAGGGTGGGGGGGTTGCAGCCGGCAAGGTACTTCAGCCCCCGCTCTGCTTCCAGCCAGCTGCAAACCGCCCCCACACCCAGCCGGCTGCAAACTGCTCCCTGCTCCCATGTGCCACTCCACCTGCTCTAGCAGTCTGAGTTCACCAGCCATGCCTGAATTAGACAGAGATTTTCAAATGCAACACAATGTTTTGGGTCATGTTATCTTCCACAGTGGCTGTATGCTGACTCTTTTGCTCTTTCTCCCTTAGCATTCTCCTTGCCAGTGGAAAATTCCACCCTGTCAGGTGGCTTTTTCTGGCCACATGCTTTGATGCCTACTCTGCTGTCAACCCCTTTTGGTATATTCAGCTCAGCAGCTTGGGCCATCACAGTTTCTGCTGCCCTGGACATGTGGATAGTCTTTTCTAGGAACCAGTCTCCCTCATGCAATAGCCTTTCTTGTAAGACTACAGGTGCATCCAGATGAACACACATGTGTATTTCCCCAGGAACAACTAGCAGTGACACATGTATGGGCCACTGCTAGTTGTCCCTGGGAAATACCCGCGCATGTGCACTCTGGTGTGGGGCACATTTCCCTGAGTGGGGTAGGGGAGCTTGGGGCCAGCACCTGGGCTGGCCCCATCAGCCTTACCTAGGGTCCTGGAAGCCTCCTGGGGCTGCAGCTGTGTCAATCCAGGTGCACAGAGCCTGGCTGGAAGCTGGCACATGGCTCTGGCTGGCCAGGCTCCAGTTTTGGGTGGTGCATGCTGCCACCATGTGCACTACTGCACTTTTTTTTGGCATGATTTCTTATTGATTCTGGGATTTCTCAATATCTGAATTTGGCTCCACACTGCAATTATGCAGCACAGGGAACCAAATCATGTGTGCAGTGTGTGTTTTTTGGTGCCTCAAAAACATCTAAGGTGCCACAAAGTGCACATGTGTGCTCACCTGGATGCACTCTACCTGTGCAGGAAGATTACTTCCTTTCTAGGAGCCCTTGTCTGTCCATGTGGCTCTGTTTCTTCACTTGCTCTTAGTTTCCACCTTTGTTTTCAGTTTGAAACTCAAATACTTTCAAGCTTTTTCTCATTCGCCACTCTT